AACTGTCAAAGTGGCCGTGACTAAGTGCCAATCGTCCGTAGATGAACGTCTGTATCTGACTGAAAAACACACTCTGGCCGCCAGCTGCAACTCGAAAAACGAGCCATCTGTCATCCGAAGACACTAACGGCTGCACGGCTGCACGGCTGCTATGACTCATTGCCTAACTTTTTTGGTTAGCTAGAATCAGAATATAAATTATTGATTGATATGCAAAGATTCAAGCATAGATCGCATCGTGGTGTCTTAAAGATTTCCTATTTGAGGATATTAGTCGACTTGTCGACAAATGATAAAAATACCGATTATAATGGCAACACTTTTTTCCCACATGTGACGAAACACTAGGATGTCCCATAATTTCTTTCGTACCATTGTTTTAATCAGTTTTTTCTATTTAAAATTAGGTCATAGCTCAAAGGCAGCTGTATTTTGGAGAGCATTCTGATAACACTTGATCACGATCGTGCCACCATCACGATTGTGGCACCATCGCTAGCCAGCTAAGTAAAATGTGCTCTCGCAATTGGTAAGATGTATCTCTCATGCACTGACTGGACTACCTTGCATGCCGGCGTCGACTCACCACATTTTGAAGAAACTTTGCTGCACTACGTATCATAATAACCGTATAGCCTTGATACAACTCCATCGGATTATCAACCCTTTCAAGCCCTGGATCAGCATCTGTGCGAAAAGAAAATTGATGGCTGCCAGCGCGAAAGTAACCTCATCGACTTCTTTGTTCTCCAACATCATTCTTTTTTGGTGGAAGTCTTCCAATTTTTGGTCATTAAATGGTTGCATATCACTGAACATGATAGTGGTCGTATTATTGATTGATTAATTTCCTCATATAAATTACCACTGAATCAACAAAAGTGTCGAAGTGCAATAAAATTATGGGCAATCCATACTAAATGAAAGATTTGAGGTTTCTAAGTTCATTATCAGCTCGAAACGTTCAGTATGAATAACACTGTGTTCATAGTCAAGAAAGCAGTGGTCAGTATGAGCTATAGATGGGTCATCTATTTATGGTTTATTTAGGCGCTTAGCCTTTTCCTTAAACTTATTTCAATCAGTATGATAGATGTAGGGCAGAAGTGTTGTGATATGCGTTGGCTGAGGACTGCATTAGTCTTTATCTAAAAACATATAAAAACACTTCAAATGAGTGTGCTGACGATTAGCTCGACAGGCAATCGACTGTTGTTTCAATTCCATTTGCTACAATAGATCATGATTTTGAATCAGAGTAGGAGTGAGCGCGAAAAACTGAAATGGTGGAAAACCATTGTAACCCAAGTACGTTATTGGAATTACAATTTATGCTATCGAACGGTTAGTAAGAGATTGAAGGAAAAGCTTTGTTCAGCGATAAATGTTCGAATAAGAAACACAATTTATTTTTCGCTGTTACAGCGTAGTGATCAAGCTATTTCAAAAGATGTACCATTCCAATTTTTTGAATTTATGTTATCGAACGATTGTTAGAGTAACTAGAAATTGAAAGAAACTAGAAAATGCGATTTTTTCCGCAGGGCTGGAACAGGGTGCGGATAACGGAACAGTGTCAACTATGCGTAGATTTTACCAGGTAGCACCCGAATTTCAATATTACCCCCAGAATAGTCGAGCAGAGTCTCCTCCATGTCTAGCTTGTTTGAGTCCATCAAGTCCTTTCTATATCGAAAGTTTATTGTTCGCTGTCAGATACCCAGAAAATCCGTTGAAGTCGAAAAAGACGTCGTCAGTTTATGACAAACCAGGAGAAAGAAACGCAAGGGTTAGGCTATGCCGTGCAATAGGAGAAAGGTGGTCGGCCCAATCCCACCCTCCAATCACACGATGTTTCGCAAATTCTTACGACATTTGCTTGAAAGATCTCTAAAAAGTAGCTTTGTCTATGAAGTCGACAATTACTTATGGTAGAAGCTAGCGAGGACTTCAGCATGGCTATCAGGACTCCACAAAGAACTTTTCGAACCAACTTCAACGACATCGCTGAGAAAGACACTCCTTTGCAGCAGTATTCATTTATGAACCCTAAAACCTTTGAGGGTATTGAATTCAATACTAGGTACATCATTGTTTGGAGGACTTCCCCGCTGCAGGAAAGTTTCTTCTTTGATATTTGGCAATCATCAGAAAGCTTGAGCCTCTGCGATTCTAAAAACCTGTTTAGCCTCAGAAAAAAGCTTTTATTACGTTGGAGCGGCGAAAATAAAATTATTTTCCACACTCAATTTTCTTCATTTGCCCGGCTGGGGCCGCTATATGGATCTTCACTAAGATTTCATTACTCATTAGATAGCCCAAATCTCACGAACTCTGATGATGAAGTTGGTCTTTTGAAAGGTTGCCATATAACGCCGTATGAGTAAAAGAAGATCACACTTTACGCCCTAAATGCTACCCCGTCGCTCGGACGTCATAGGTGGTTTGTTGGTAATTATAAGTGTAGTATAACTCAGAGGTGTCTCGTCGCTGCATCAAAGATGGAATATCACGAATGAATCTTCTACGAAATTTTTTGATACAAAGAGTGACTACTGCTCAACGCTAATATTACATCCTTGTACAAAAATAAACTCTCAACGCCTATTAAGCAATTGTATCGCCTGTCATGCGAGAACGTAGCTTGAAAAAACATCATCTACAATTAAACATTTTAAATAGAGATTTATGTGGAGATAATTCTGACATGTAGCTCGAGTGAGTGTGGAAGAGCACGCGTTCATCATTGCGCATGATGCACTACTTCCACTATCAGCAGCCATATTCGAAAAAACGTGTTTTTTGCTCTTCCTAGACATTATAGTAGTTATTGGATAGCTTGAATCTCAAACAATTGTAACATGTACTTCATATTTTGAAACGTCTGCACTGTAACAGGAAAAAAAATATGGTATTTAACACTTGAGCATCTTTCGGTGAGCAACGCTTTTCCTTAAATATTCAGCAATTCTCCAACAACACAAATCTCGGCAAATTTAACTCAAAATCTCAAAGATATGCTTAGTTCGTGAGGAAGACTTCTTTGTTCGTCGTTACAGCTAAAAGAACATTGAGCGTTGCACTAGGCACGCACAGGACCCCATATGCACATTGCGCTTCGCGTCCGACACGGCGCCCAGTGCGTAACTCAATGATCTTTTAGCTGTAACAACATATTAAAACGTTCTTCTCAAAAATTAAGCTTATTATTGAGATTGTTTAAATTCGTGCTAGTGAATGGTCATTGAAAATCTGAATGAAGACCCCTCTCCAGCGAAAGATGCTTGAGTGTGAAAGAGAAATTGGTACTTGTATGTCAAGCGGCGACAAATTTTTAAGCCACTCTCATTCGCTGAACAGGAATTTTTATATAAGTATTTGTAGTTATTTGAAAGTTTAAATCTGCCTACAAGTGCACGTCGCCGGTTTTTTGAAACACCTTTTCATAACCCTGTAACATCCAGAAAAAAATTTATTTCTCACGTCGTACCTCGCCTTCGTTCTTACCACGCATAAAAATTGCTAGAAGCACGAAAAGCATGTCGGTGTGTATAAATTTTCCGTTGTGTCAGAAACAAGTGTTTTTATTTGAAGTTTCTGTCGATGCGGTAGGAAAATCCTCAGTTGTCACCGTTCTAACACTTAATGCGACAGATCGCTGTTAAGTTACGCGACAGAGCAGGCGATTGTTTTACTAAAAAGTTGTTGCTAGCAATTTTCCTTCACATTTTTCTCAGCTATGAACCTTTTTGTCGACTTTGCTTACCGGCCAACTCACGAAGCGGGACATTTATTGCCGTCTTCACATGAGTACTGAGAATTTTACTTCACCTTTACAGCATAGTATAGAAACCATTTGAAAAATAGAACACATCTTTTAAATTCTCGACACTCAAGCTGTCAATTAAATCAACTCTGAATAATTGGAAATAAGCAAATGATTGATGTAAACTTAGGTACAGTGAGAGTTATCGATGAACTAGTATCGAATACATGATGGCAACGAGTTTGAAATCGCAGAATGGGCCTTACGTACATCAATATGCTTGAAGGAGAGCACCACCATAGACGATAGCTGTGCGAGAAAGAAGCGATTGTTGGGAATTATACTAGGGTTCGCACTACCAGTGAAGATGGGCTGCCCAACTATCCATATATCCAAAACTACATATTAGGTGTTTGAAAAAGACTTCGCCAGCCACATTTTGCCGCAGTAACGAACGAATGCAATTTTTCTTTCGCTTGGAAGTGTGTAAAAACGTTATTTATCTATATATTGTGTATATTGCAAATACTATGTATAATTTTTTCATAGGACTTTATAGATAACGACTTTGAACGAGACGCCATTTTCTTTGAATCCACTAATTTGTAGTTTGAATTTGGTAGTTCCAAGTGATAATCTAACGGTGCGACGTCAGGAGGCAAGGCTGGCAACCTTTTAAAACACTTAACCCTAGCTCTTTTATGACGTTTCCGATCTGTTTTCCAACATGAGATCGAGAGTTATCATGCAGCACATTGCAAAGTCGTGCCGTTTTAGCTTTTTAATAAGAATTTTGCAATGAAATTGCATTACCTCAATATCGTTCAGCTGCGTGTTTTCTCGCGAACATCTTGGTAGAGGCAATTAGCCTGTACTTACTTCAAAAGGGAGCTCCCTCTAGGCTCCATTAATCTTGTGCGGCGTTTCACTAGCATTTTCCTCTAGCGTCTTTCGAGCATGAATGGAAGCGAATTTGTCCCGTGACAGCTTCATCTCAAATCAAGTGTATAGGCAAGTTGTATAGCAATGTTTACAAGGAAATGCGTAATTTATCAATGCCGAAATCAGGCAATTTAAATTACTTTTAGCAATGAATCTGCAAAGTAAAGCTCAGCGTAAATGGTGTTTTTCGAGTACAAAAGTCGTCATCTTCAAAGATTCATAGAAAACATTGTACGGAATGTTGTGTATGCTATTTATATACCTAAGTGAATTGAGTGGTGAGCCAAAACACTGCCTCAGGTGGGAATTGAACGCGCTATTCATTCCATCAAGAGAGGAGTGCTCTACCACTGCAACACTGAGGCACATTTGCCCGACCACTCACTCTTCGGCATTTCAATGTTGGCTATCAGCCACCAACCTTCAAGAGGTTTGGTCAGGTGTGCGATTTCGCTTCATAAACCCAGTTGAGCTGACAGCCAGTGTTGGATTATGATACTCCAAAATTCTAGCATTACAGTATTCTAGTATGGACATTGTATTAACACAGTATTAATTCTAGTACAACATTGCGGAAAAAGCAGTAAAATGCTAAAGTTTCGAAATATCATATCTAAGAGTGGCTGTCAGCCCAACTAGGTTTATGAAGCGAAATCGCATACGCGACCAAACCTGTTAAAGATTGGTGGCTGATAGCTAACACAGAGATGTTGAAGAGTGAATGATCGGACAAACGTACTTTGGTGGTGTAGTGGTAAAGCACGCGTTTCTGAATAGGATGAAACAAGGGTTCGACTCCTGCGAGCTCACCACTCAATTCTTTAGGTATATAGTAAAATCATAACACTGCGAAGAAAGCAGTAAAATACTAGAAATTCGGAATGTTTTGTATTTAAAAAGCAGGTACTTTTCCACCAGACAGCCACAATGAAGAAACGATCCCTTTTACTGGATTAAGATTCTTCATTGCATTTTCAATAATCATTCGAAAGGAACAAATCTTTAGCTACTCCGCTGTGTGGCCTATTTTTGGCAAAAACCTATCTTAAACAGTGTTACAGAAAGTGAATATTTGTGCTTTTCCACAAGCGTTTTTCTCTCAGTACAGAGCTCTTCCTTTAGACTACTATCAGTCATTCGATAGCGTAGGTTTCCGCGATTCCATCGCTCTATTTATTCTTTGAAAAGATGGCTTAATTGCAGCGCAACAGGAAAAAAAAGTTTTACATCTTCGACGCGCCTTTTTCCAACTGTTCTACGGTCGGGGTGTGTGGTCCTGTAGATTCGATGCGGCGATTCGCCGTCGATCGATCGAAGTACGTTTTCGCGTCGCATGTAAAGTGCGATTTTTGTCATTTGATTAGGAATTCTCGCACCGCTTGTAAGAAATTTCAGCAAAATATGACTCTGATCTTACAGGATCTCGTCTGCACGTTCATATGCTTTTCGTTTTTCCACGAAGTAATAATGAAAGCGCTCAGCGATGTAAAACACAATTGAATCTCAAGTGCTACAGCGCTATGAAAGAGTCTTTTCAAAAAACAGCTGCGTAGCGCAGTAGCCAGAGATTCAAACTTTGAGTGATTTTTGATATTGTTCTAAAAAGTTCTTGTTCAGCGAATGGGATCAGATAATCATTTGTCGCCGTCTAACGGAAAGGATCCAAAAAGCATATAAATATAAAACGTTTTTATTGCACTTTTGAACAAAAAAAAAGAATCTGCATGTCTTTAACATCACTAGTATTGCAGGTCAAAAACGGCGGAATCATGTTTGCGCACCTAATACTTCACCTTCACATCTGATATGTAAAGCGCTGCTTTTCCTGCATTCAGTTTGTATTTTTGCATTCACTGTCCACTAATCTCCAAACTTTTATGCATGCGACTTGGGACATTGCTTAAGACGGTCGATTTTTTTGTGAATGTCGTTAGGTGCTAGTCAAGTCAAATCTTTGTAAAAGTGTGAAAGTGCCGTATTTGACCCCTTTCTCTTGGACTGCAAGGATTGAGCTGTTCTCAGGCTAGCCTAATACCAATCGTACTACTCCGGCGGATCGGCGGCTCATTGAGTTAGGTTCAGAATCAAACCACGATTGTAGTCGTGATGAACGCCACCACTAACTCTGCTATGCCAGCTCCCTTAGCATGAGATATTTTGACGCGTTGAAAAAAAAGTTTCTGAAAGTGGAATCTATGATAGCCAGTTTTACGATAAAGGACACAAATTAACGTGCAGTACTGGCAGTGCTCAAGTTTAGAGTATATCAGCAAATCTCATGCTGGTCACTTCTGGAGATTTTTGAGATGTTCTCATTATTTCATTATGGACGTGATATGTTAGGCTACAACCGAGTACTACTACTAGCAAATGGATGTTTTCAGAGGTCTCGTTTATTCCTTGGAGTTTCTGTGATTGACTTCATATCAGTTATTCCGTTTCTAATTTTGGCCCAAAGTGATCCAGCAGCGTGGACTAGAGACAAGGTTAGTAGCTTTAATAGTGAGGCTGATGAGGAAAAAATTCCTCCATGTTTTTTGCGAGAACTAAAACAATAACAACAAAAAACGGACTGCTGTACTAGTTGTGAGGTCAAAGTAGGCGACCAAAGATTGCTTCTACCTAGCTCACTTCTCATTGGTGCGCACCATACCTTATCTATTAAGATGAAAGGGCTAGTGTTGTCGATTGATAGCAATAACAGCACTGTTACTAAGAATGTAGCATGTTTTCTGTGATTCGAATAGTATTAAATTGAAGAGAAAGTTCTGAGACACTTGTAAAAAATTGGAAATTTATGCATGAATTCGAAACGAATACAATAATAACTTTTTCCAAAATAAAAGCCATCGTTTTCTTCGATAGCTTGCCATCGGTCCGCTAGGTTCTTCTTTGGTCGAAGTACCCTTCCTTTCGACTTCAAGTCAAAGAAATCTTTACGTGCTTCTTGAACTCCATCGATCGATTCAACCGACGACCCTTTCGAAAAGTGTTGCTTTGATCAGAAAAGACCAAAATCGGATGCGGCGCCATCTGGTCTGTAGACGAGATGCAGTAGAACCTCGACTCCGTCCTATACATCAAATTTGTGGTCTTTTTCTCAGTGTGCGGTTTGACATTGATTTGCTGCATCAAGGCGCGCTTTTGGTTGACCAAAACTTTGAAGCTTGGTGTAGGCTCAGCCTAACTACTGACAATAGAGCCCGACTCATTGAACCGCAGCTCGGAAATAAGTTAAAATGCGCGATTCTTTCAAAAATCCAACAAATACAGATTATGACCTTTTAGCCAAATAGGTTGTACTTCGAAACTGACGGCTAAGCTTGCCCCTTCTGATGCTACTGCTTGTCTCGATTGTGGTTGACCAGGATTATCCTACCACTCCCTATATCAAATCAGTCATTTGTTAGATTGCTGAGCAGTTGGCGACAAATTTCGACTTTCTTAGCAGCTTATGATTCAATGAGTTCGTGCGGATCTTGTCTGGCCTCTTGTGGACAAGGTTAAGCTGGTGGAGATGAGTTAGCACAGTGCATGAGACGTCTTGAACGACGCTTATTTTCGAGGTTAAGATCACCGGCATTGGAAAGCTTTGAAAGCAGCGTCTAGCAGCAGATCTGCTTATTGTACTTTCCCCTTCAATTTCGTTGATTTCATCGGTTGCAGCTCTCAGTAAGGGATCCTTCCCCCAATAATGACGCAATAAAACACGAACTACGATTGTATCCCAAAAAAGAATGATTTAAGCTCAAAAAGGGGTTGGTACGCCAGGGTCATACACCGGTGTTTCGGAGGTTCGTCCTCCTCATCAGTGACCCCCTCCCCACATTCAACCCTGCATTGAAGCAAGGAGGGAGGCGTATGTGGTGATGGCACAGTGTACTATGACACTGTACCATCACCACCTCTCAGTCGATAGATTTTTGCTGTTAGATCAAAACTATATCAAAAGATCGACTATTTTTGAAACCCCCAAAAAACATTCAATATAATTCCAAAAAAGAATGATGAAACCCCTCACCGGTGTATGACCCTGGCGTACCAACCCCTTTTTGAGCTTAAATCATTCTTTTTTGGAATTATATTGAATGTCTTTTTGGGGGTTTCAAAAACAGTCGATCTTTTGATACGATTGTATCGTTGGACATGGCGGAGGCTTCTGCAAAAGTGAAAATAATGGCGAATAGTATCTTGGCTTTCAACTGAAGAATCCCACCTGAGAAACCGCAACATTCCCATAATATGCGTGGAAGTTGTCTTATGCTTATCAAAGTGCCCCACAACTTTCTTTTCAGCCCTAGGTATATGGGTTCGAACTAGAAAGATCGATAATGACGCTTCCAAGGGGAAGTCACCATCTTTCCCCACAGAAAAAAATCGTCTTGAACTGTTTGATTTCATTAGCACTACTATATAGAGAAAATTGGACTTTTTGGGCCAGTTCTGTGCTCCTAAAAAATTCTGCGTGTTTTCAGTAAACAGTGTAATAGACCACTCAGACTTTTACGATTCGTAAAGTTTCTTTTTTTTTCCTTGACGTACTTATATGAACATAATCTCAGGGACTACTTCAATCAGAAAAGGTCAGCACGATTGTGAAATTTGATGAGAAATGGGAAGAAAGAATTTAACACGCCGCTATATAGTTCATATAAAAAGTTCTCTTGACTTTTTCTCTCATGGAGACTCAAAATTCAGTTCACATACACTGCCACTTGCTGTACGGATTTTATCACTTCTTGCATTCGATTTGTTCCTTTGCATTCATCCTTCCCACATCATGCATCCCTTCCCAAAAGTCCTTGATTACTTCACGTGTTATCTCATTCAATGTATTTTTTAGTGCTTTTTTACAGTGGCTTGAAGTTGTAAATGAACCTCTTAGAATATTGATTGACACGTATAAATTGACCTTGAACGGGAGATGAACCCACACTGAACCACACCTGGTGCATGTGCTACCACCACACCGCCGAGGCCACTGCTTCGGTACCATTCTTTCTTTCATAGGATCTTGTCATAGCTATCAGAAACAAACCTTTATATAGTGTAACACACACTACAGCTATGATGAAACGAAGGTTCAACTCCAGTCTGGGGTCGAACCTGTCTTGCTTACCATTCGTAATTTGTAAATTCACGTATCTATTCTGCTGTAGCTTTAGTATTTCGTCTTCTTCATAAATGTCGTGCTGCTGTTGGAACAATTCTCTTTTTAGTCTTGGATGTAGCCGAGCTAAGGCGTTACTGTGGCTTTCGTTCGTTGAATGCGAAAGAATGTTGGAGCAGCGAATCGATCCAGCGTCTTGCTCATCACCTTGGTCTTTTTACACTTAACTAACCATTGCGCTACCCCTCCCCCTGA